TTTTAAGAAGCCCCTTGATAATTATGACATTGGCTACTCATATGTTTTTTTGTTAAACCACTGATTATTAAATTATGCTACTGTATCTTTATAACATTTTTATATATATCTCAGACATGCTGTGCCCATAAAATTCCACAAGCTGAACACATATCTGGGCTCTTCCACTCTCTAGAAAAGCAACACTGTCAGTCTCTAAGATGGGTGATCCTGTCTCAATAAATATCCTCAAGCATAACTACTACTGTGACATTAAATAGCATAGACTACTTTCACTTTCCTTGCACTTCACATAAACGAAATCATTCCACATGAAATCTCTTATATTTGCTTTTTAAAAAATCCATCTGTTTTAAGGTTTTTCTCTGTTCTTCCATGTTGTTCGTGATAGAATGTAACTGTTAATAAAAAGCAATATAGAGTCTCAAGATTCGCAGGCATATGTGTGTGTAGATGTGTTTGTTGCATGTTTGACTCCTGTGTTTAATTTTCTGGATATTGGTTTGGAGGAGTCTTGTAACCATAAAGGATTTGGCTCAGAACATTATGTTAAAATCAATTGCCAAGCCTGAGAAGGACATGGAGGGACATGGAGCAGTGGCGTCACTGGTAGAGCTTGAGCCCTCTAGCCTGGTCCAGTTTAAGAAAGGAGTAGTGGGGGACAAAACGGATTTTACCCACCAGAGAGGTATTTCCCCATGAATTCCATCTCACAGCACCCGATGGGCTTGGCTGAGCCACAAGCAGCTATCCAGGCCTTTTTAGCTAAGGGAGATTTGGCCGTGGCACAGATACATTTTGCCTCTCAGGGAGTAAGGCTGTTTTCTCTACCTCCCTTGCAACTGGCATTAAAAGAAGCTAGAGTGGCAGGGGAGTCCATGGAAGGTTTTCAACATATCCACCCTGTTACAGAAGTTGAAGCCTCCAAAAATCCAGGATGAGTTATATGTCTTATGGAGGTATATAATTTAAAATCCTAAAGCAGTTAAAAACAAGCTGTTGCTACTTATGGCCCTACTGCTCACTTTACCTTAAGTTTAGTAGCAATTCTAGGACAACAGAGTACAACCCCAAATGATTAGAAAGAAATAGCTAAAGCCTATTTAAGTCTGTGGGACTATTTTCTGTGAAAGGAAATTTCTTTGAAGATTGCACAGACCAGGCAACTCATAATGTGGTTCACAACATATCAGTTACAAAAGATATGCTAATTGGAGAAGGTGCTTTTGCTATTATGAACAATAAATTGACCTTTGTATTATTTGCATATGAGCAAACCAAGATGACTGCCATGAGGGCTTGGAAGGAACTTCCTTCAAAGGGGGAGGCACCTCTCAGTTTGGCTTCCACTTGTCAGGGCCCAAATGATTCATTCCAAGACTTTGTGGCATGCTTACTACAAGCTAGTGAGAAGATTATACATGACACCGAAGTTAGCAATTACTAGTTCAGTGGCTGGCCTTTGAAAATGCAAATAAATGGTATAAAGAGGCTTTAAGAGCCCACAAAAAATGGACTACATTGCTGGAGGTGCTTTGGATCTGTGCAGATATTGGTTCCTCATATGTACAGAGGGCTGCCTTGGTGGCTGCTATTGCTCAGGTTATTCAGCCACAGCCTGGAGGAAGGAGAAAAAAAACAAGGCTGTTTTTGTGTTGTGGGGACAAGAGGCCTTTCGTCTGGAACTACTCTGCTGTACTGATAAAGGCAGCTCAGCCATTGTGAGTCTCTTCAACTAAACCTTGCAGCCCTTGTACAGTCAATGGGGGCATCACTGGAGTCATGAGTGTAGATCTAGAACTGCTGGCAAAAGGGTACCCTTTCTGGGAAAGTCCCATTGGAGGGTACCTCAGCCCCATCAACTAAAGAAGCCAGCTTGGATGGCTGCAGTGGGGGAAGGGGTACTGGGTGCATTCAGGTATCTGACATGTGCCCCCTACTCCTATCTCTTCCCCTACTCACCAGACACCAAGGGCACTGATGGCTGGCACCAATGCAATCGTGGACACCCTCCTGCCTTGTTCTCCTCCACCACACCTGGCTCCAAGGCAGGGTGGCAAGGTGAGGGGCAACAGTTCAAGGCAGCGGAAGACAGCAAAAGCAGAGAGAACAAAAAAGGGGGGAATGACAAGTCTCTTTTCCTCCTTTATGCTGTGTGCAAGCTACCTGCCCTGGGACAGGTGTACAACTTACATCGTCTCCCTGCCATCCTCTTGCACAGGCTGAGGATGTTTACAAATTGAAGACCTGGGCCCCCTGCTGAGTCACTTAGTTAAGCTTGTAAAACTCTCACATTGACACAATGAATTAAACATTACAACATTCTGGAACATAAATAACCACACTAGGCCATACCCTTTACACCCCAAGTTGTACAACTGCTGAGGTACTTACTGAAATTTCTCGAGTTGACACAGTGCATCAACCATTATATTCATACAAAGAAAGAGGAAACTGTGCTCCACTGAAAAGCCAAAAAATGGTTCACAGTGGTGTTCAGGAATCACCATTCACAGAGAACCACAAAGTACCCACCCAGGACAGACAGAACCCACGTGGGTAAATTGATTGATTAATCAGCCACTGAAAGAGACTCTGTATAAGATGCAAAAAGATGGCACAGAGAAAATGAGAAGCTGATAGGGCAAGAGAGACTCCATTTTTCTCTTTTTAATTCCATATTAAGAAAAGCCTCTTAAAGCTCATTTAAGCTGTAGTTCACCCCAGTTGCCTAGGCTAGTAATCAACTCAGAGCAGAGTCGTAAAATGGGGACAAAACAAAGAGCGGAAGGTGCAGCGCAGCGCTCCCTCCTCGGACATTCCGGAACCGGGAGGAAAAGTTAAACTGCAATGGTCATTTGGAATTCAGTTGTCTGACCTTCTGGGGGAAGTAAACTTAGTGACAATTGGATGTCATTCTTGCAAGATTCCCCAGAATGAGGTAACAGTTACTACAGAAACCTGAAATGTACTTAAAGTGAAGGTGAGACACAGATTGGGGCAGATATCTTCTCTGGCTCTTGGTGAGAGATGGTCCATCGGCTGGCTGCAATAAAGCTTTGTTCATTCCTGTCTTTTTTGTGTTCTTGTGAGTGCCTTTCTTGATGAACTCACTTGCCGTATCCATGAAATGTAAAAATCTTTCAGGGGAGTAAGCCAGGGCTACACCACCAACTGGACACTCACCCAGGTGCTATTGGCAACAATGCAGGCAGAGCTCCACGATTTCTACCACTGCCCGTATGCTTCTATCACAACTCTTGTGGATATCACAAAATATCGTTCACACTCAGTAAAACATTGAAATATTCCTGATTATTGAGACCTTTCAGAAGAACTCATGTGTTGCACTAAAAGCAGAGTGTGTGTTCCTCTGTCTCAAATTGCCAAAAATAAGAAGGGCTACATTAGTAATTTTATAAAAGGAACAAAACTGGTTGGAAAATAAAATCACCTTGAAAACACGTAACATTGCAGAAAATTTTATTGATATTGAAAAAAATTAACAAAATGTTGTAATGATTTTGAACAATAAAATTACAATGCTAAATGTTTACAACCTTATTGTTTGAATATAAATTGAAGTTTAGATATCTAGTGTTTACCTGAGGTACGACAATAATAAGGACAAGCACATTCTTTGCCACATGGCATTCATATTAGAGAATGTTACATAATTCATTTAACACCTGCAGTAATATCAAACTTGTCAATACTGCTGTCACCCTACAAAGATAAATTGAGACACACTTATCTCAGTGCAATTCAGTATTAAGTAAGATTCTCTAAATGAGTTAAGTCATTGCCCTTTTCTATAATCTGGACTCATTTAGAGGGAATAGAGCTCAAATGTAGAAGTACTTGATTAAATTCACCAGAAAAACAAAACAAAAAACAAAATTCCTCCAGAATTCTCCATCTTTCCTAAATTTTATGAGGGCATGAAATTTCAGACACTCTCACAGGGTGGGAAACTTTAAATCATAACTTTAGATTCCCAATAAAATGCTCTCAAAAAGATGCCGATATCTGCAGTTTTCTGACGATAGACGGGAACTTGATGGTTGGTTGGTTGGTTGGTTGGTTGGATGATTGGTTGGTTTCCATTACTGGAGATAAAGCCATGGACCTTGATGCTGACATACATCTCCAGACCTGCTTCATTTTTATTTACACAGAGTCTTTTATTAAGGGTTGCATTACTCAGGATGGGCTCATTCTTGGGATCCTTCTGCCACATTATCCCACACAACAGGGATTGCAGACTTCTGCCATCTTTCATGGCTCAGCTGCTCCCTTTTCCAGTGTTGTCCATGTTTTACTCATTTGTCAATAAGCATATGAATTTCATAGCTTTCCCTTTACCTAAGCCTAATCCTATTGGCTTATGTTAATGCAATGTGGCATAATATGCTGAATGTTCCAACAACTTTATAAGACAGACTCATAAGCCCCATTATGGTCACATCTTAATTCACAAAATTTCACTACTTTATCTCTAATTGTAGCAGGGGCTCTACAATTTGCAAACACCACATCTTAGGAAGTATTGGTGCATGGGACATGATTTTTTCTTTTTCTATTTTTTTTGTGGTACCGGGAGTCAAACTCACTACCTTGCACTTGGTAGGCACGCACTGTGCCACTGAGCTAAATCCCCAGCCCTATTTTTTTTTGTTTTTTTTTTGTTTTTTGTTTTTTTTTCTGGTACCGGGAGTCAAACTCACTACCTTGCCCTTGGCAGGCAGGTGCTGTGCTGCTGAGCTAAATTCCCAGCCCTATTTTTTTGTTTTTTTTGGTTTTTCTGGTTTTCTTCTGATAGTGGGAATTAAACTCATGACATTGCGCTTGGCAGGCTGGCACTGTGCCACTGAGCTAAATCCTCACCCCTATTTTTTTTTTTTCTTTTTGGTTGTTTTCCAGTACGAGGAATCAAGCTCACAAAATTGCACTTGGTATGCAGGCGCTGTGCCACTGAGCTAAATGCTCAGCCCCGGGACATAATTGTTGATGGGCCCTTTCCACTCACTGGTCTCTCAGTCACATCCCAGTCCATGAGGGTTGACACCGAGTCTTCCCCACACCTCAGCAGAGCTCACTCCGAGTCACTGTCCCCAAAAGAGGAAGAAACCAAAAAGGCTTCCTATGGGACACCTGGCACTTGGCTCTCATTTCCTATGTGAGGACTCTGGTCAGCGGGGTACACTTCACAGTCAGATTGGGAATAGGAAGACTTAGGGTCCTGGATTTCTGCCGACCCTTGTTCCATCTCATGGAGCCAGTTTCCTTGAGGTTGACTGTTTTTGGCTAGAAGGTCGGTGCTGAAACACTGCACAGTTCTGGGGAGGGGCTGTGGGAGGCTCAGGTCAGATGAGTAGGGTGGAAGCTGAGTCTTCTTCAGGTGACTGGGCACTGCACTTGAAGCTTCAGGCAGTTGGGGAAGCTGCACAGTGCCGCAGTCAGGTAACTATGTCTTCAGCTGGGAAGTTGGAAAGGCGAGGCTTCCTTTCTTTAAGTGAGTCGGGATGGGAACAGACATCTTGCCTGCTCCCTAGATGTTGACGCTGGAGCCTTGGCTGCACTTTTGCTGAGGAACGCTGGAATGGCCTTTGAATCAACACGAGGATATCTGCTGTGTGCACGGAGGTCAGTGGCATGACCCAGGTTGGGTGTCTTCCTAAAAGGCTGAGGAGCATCACCACAGTTCCCAACAGACCTAGAGTCAGTTGGCTTGGAGCTGAGAATGATGTTCTGGCTGAAGGTCTCAGAAAGAGAATTTGAGAAGTCAGGGTGATTCACCTCCTGTCCTTTGTCTGATCCACAAAGCTTTCCTTCGGGTCTCCTCTGGTAAGACTGTATAGGGCAGAAT